GGGGTCCAGGATCCAGGGACTAGCGATGGTGAAAGAACCAGCCGAAACCAAGGATCTAGGACCCCGTGTTGACGATGGTAAGTGGGAACCGGGAACCAGCATTGAAAGTCAGACACACGTCTCCTGGTAACGGATCCGCAAGGACAAACACGAGTGAGATTTAGTGGCAGTTTCAAATGTGATATTTCGTATCCATCATAAGCCATAGTTTATATCCATAGTTCATCAGAATGGTAGACAGGTTTGTTATTGGTCGGCATCAATTTGAATGCTTCCCGCTCGTGGGTGCTGATTTAGAAGAAAAATATCAAAACCCTAGGAAATCATTAGTACCTATTCCAAATTAACCAATTTTGCGAGCGGTCTTGCGCTGTAAGACCATGAAAGCATCGTAGTGGTGGTGTAGCATTAAGGGTTTTGGAATCATCATTGCTTGGCATGGGCCAGAAGTTTTCAAAATTTGGACAAAAAGTAGGCGCAGCGCTGGCAAAAGATGGATACCAGGCTTGGGGGAAGAAAATCGTGCTATAGTCACGCGCATGTGTTGCGATTATTTTTCGGATGTCGAATGCTCTGAACTCAGTTTGATTACAATTTGTTGCGTTTCGTGTGCACCAGCAACTTTGTGAACAAGGGTATGAGCTTTACCAAGTTTACTTAATTGACATGTTTGCATGCCACGCAGTTACACACCCACGCTCCCGTGCTAGACTCACGCACTAATCGTTCAAATTGCAAAAAAAATCATTTATATACGCCTCAGTACTTCATTACAGCATATATCAGCACAGTTTGACCGACATGGAAGCACAACGTGTGTCTCACTTTCCTGTTCATTTCTGTATTCCTGCTTCCTGAACAATCTCACGCCATGCACCTTGTACCACCTTGTACCAGTGATGTCCGAATTCGCGGCTGCTTCCAACGCCGTAAGCTGTACATTAAAGGAGCCCGGAGTGCCCGAAGGCCCTAGAACAGCGAGAGTCCTACCTGATTGTTTCTATGGCTTTTCGACCAATGACCTAAGTCTTCCGGTGAGGTTATTTGAAACTCAATCAAAGCTATGCCTGATCGTCCAGAACGTGACTCAAGACTGATGCCAACCTCTACTTCTGGATGTCAACTGAACGCAGAAGATAGTTGGTCTGAAATATCGATGTCCTCACTCTCTGTATAGGCCGACTTCTCGCACAGGTGACGGGAAACAGCGTGAGGCAGGACGGGCAGGCCATGGCTCGCCTACGTTCAGTGAAGCCCAAAATTAAGTCTGCTGATGGATGGAAAACGGGTTCCGAAAGTGAGTTTGGACTACCCATTTGATTGGGCGGTCCAAAGTGTTTTTAATTGGTTTATGAGCATGTCAAATGGATCACAATGGGGAAAAAGTCCAGTAACATTATCACGGTACCACACTTCGAGGTCACAAATCAAAAGTTGCCGTGAACATAGCTGATAAGCCGTCAATCGTAGGAGATGGCGAAGCCAAAATTTTGGAGGCCATTGAGCGGGCTGACATTATTGCGCTCATCGTCAATTTGTAAGGCGTTCCTATTTAATAGGAACTGGCACACGCCTGGTGCATTGCCTGTTTTGAGTCGGCAGGCTGAAACGAAACGATCCTTTAGCTCGATACTCCGATCAGCTTAAATGACGTAACATGTAAATAACCCAATCATTGGCCTTGTTTACCGCATGAAGCCTGCCCAACAAAGGCAATGCGGGACCGTCCCTCACGCGCTCACGCATATCCGACTCGGAAGGTTATCAACACCACATGCCCGTCATGTCCGGCTCGTTTTCCGGCCGGAGTGGCAGCGATGCCGGCGTCAGCAGGCCATTGGTGTGGGCCCGTGCCCTGCAGACCTCTGGAGGCCCGCTCGCGCGCTAGCGGGCCTCTTGCCGCGGGCCGGCCCGCCTACAGTACAGGCCGGCAACAGTTCGCCTTCCAGCCAGCCTCTCCACTCGGCAGCGCCGACCCATTAGCCGGAGCGCCGAGCGGCTCCGACAATGCGCCCTATACACGCAGTAATCAAGTGTAATTGAATGTTTGCCTTTCATGGGGGCCGGCGGCGGGCCGGCACCGCTGGGGGCTCGACCCCTCCCCGGGGACTCGGCGCTGGCAGATGGGAGCCGAGCGCGCCACGCCTGTTGCCATGGCTCGGGAGGCGTGTGGCGGCGGGCCCGCGTGACAAGTGGACAGCTATGCGACAGACGACAGGTCAGCGAAGGACGGATGTTTAGCTTTCCTTCTGGTCGGCTCCTGCACGAAGTTTGCGTAATGATCAGTTCACACGCGACCGTGACCACGTGCGACGGGCTGCATCATGGATGTTCGCGGTGAAAAGGGGGAAGATGTCCAGTTTTAAAACGAGAGCAAAACCCAAGTAAGTGATATGGTAGGTCATTGGTATCTTCCTTCTGTCGTTCCATCAATTAGTGGTCATATGACGGTAGTCATGACGGTTATGAGATGTTCAATTTACGGCTTCGTTTCCTAGCGCCAAGTTTCTAGTGCAGTAAAGATGAAGTATTTCGCAAGTTCTTTCCACGCAAATTCTTCCCTGCAAGACGAGCTCGTGTATTTTAAGCAACTAATTAACGATAGATATAGGACTAAGCCCATTCCGATTTGGTAGCCCCAGATTCTTCGGTAACAAATGCCTTTGAGGGAAAATACAACTCTGCGGGCAACGCCGAGCAATGGCTACGGAACTAAGTCTCATGTGTTAGAAGTGTGGGGGAAAACAAACCAAAACCTTAATCTTATCATATACTTGGAGTGCAGAGATCAGGGCAGGGAGGGGAGCGTGCATGAGAGAATATGTCTCAGCTATGCGAAAATTCGACATCACCGCCGTGGTACTGTTTTCGTAACAAATGCCCTTAAAGACCGCGCCTGACTCCTCCCCTCACTCAACTCTCGACGATTTACCTTGCCAACTTCAAGTTGTACACTTATGTTACAATATCTTATAGGCATACGTAGTACCATTTATGCGCCATGTTTTGGTATCACTTCGCGCAAGGATAAAGGGCAGCGCGCGGTCGATTTGTATGAAAGAGACATAAAGGGTGCTTCTGCACGACTGCGTCCAGGCTTGACATGGAAAATTAATGTTCAACATTGCGCCAACACTTGGGGAAAATCTATAGAATACTTGCACATCGCCTTCCATCGTCAATCATAGTTTCGATGGCAGACAAGTGGTTTATGCTCAAACATTTTCGAAGAATGGATGATAAATCGTAGGAAGCACGAAACGAAATGCATGGGGAAGAGAAGGGAAACTTGTAGCTTATATTTGCACACGGCTATGAACTTTTTGTTTCACATGTGGTTGTAAAGTTTTGGAGCGGACCTCTCCGCTTTTGTTCAATGACTTCTGAATGACCCTTTTCAAATGAGACAACCTGTTCCATTCAGTAGTAAATATATCACGTGGTGGGTGAATTCGTGCTTATGCTCTTTTCATTGAGAGCGTTGCATCGCAAGGAAGCTGATTGTAGTGCGGCTTGCAGACCAAACGCGATCGTCTGCGCCTTTTCGTAATTCGTCGTGATTGCGGCATGACAATGTTTCGTCATTTTAATCACCCAGTGTTTGTTTTATAACTACTGCCACCTCAGCTTCGGCTGCACGGTAGAATGACGATAGGAATCGAGTAGGTAATATAAATGTTGACTTGTCTAGAGGACAGTAAGCCATGACAATCATGTCAGTCAACCCTTAATAGCAAATCAGTCAGTGACATCTTGTCGATGCATTGTTTTTACGACGCAAACATGCCCCAAGCACAGCTGATACAATATGTACCACCTGACATCTTGGAGGAAGGGTCGCGCCACCCCCGGAATCCTTGGCTAACCGATACCAACTGTTTGCACCATATACAATACAGGTACTTTCCCAGCAATCAGTACTCAGATGGTTCTAGTCATACCTTAGGCCTTGAACACACATTTACTTTGATCGCTATGGTTTTGAACGATATGCGAAAAAAACGAATTGTCATGTTCACCCTTAAACGTGTGCGATTACGCGGCCGGAAGTACTTAGAAAGCTAGACTGCTAATGTGATCTACTGTACGCCAGCTGAGTAAATCAAGACTGCAATCCATATGTTCTGAATAAATCACCCCGATATTACTTGGATATAGTGCAACTCACCCCACTCTTCCCTACCAAAAAAAACTTTTGGCTAACACGTTGAGGAAAAAACCCAGTTTTCCCCAATCTGCTCTCCAAAAGATTTAAACGGTTTTGAAGTTGCGTCAGGTGAGAGGCGGCTCATGCTGTTATTGAACGGCGCGGACTTGAACCGTTATTGGCTGGTGAAATGACCCGCTTACAGATTAAATTCCAGTGGCTGTTCGCACTTCCGTGAATCCGATGTGTCTGCATACTCATTGCGTTTCTTTGGTTCTTATGATTTGACGAGCTGGCTATGTGACTGTCATTCATCTTTATACAATCAGCTTCCTCTATACTTATCACGCTAATCGAAAAATTACCGTGGCAATCGCATTTACCGCCGCAGGGCGGAGAGCCATGGGACTTGATCAGCCCCTAAGGTGGGGGCCAAACGGCCATCGACTCCATGCGCACTCTGTATCAGAGTAATACAGATTTATAGCCGGCTAGCCAGGACCAACTACAAAGCAATATTATCCCGCCAATTAGTTTCAGCTCCCGCCTCGCAAATCGACGGTCGGCGGCGCGCGTGCACCAGCTCATTGGAAACGAGCCCTGCCACTCTAGGCCCGCCGCTGAGGCGGGGTAGGGCCAGGGGGGGGGGACACCCGCCCGTCGCCGCTGCGGCGCTAATGAGCTCACTCCCATCTGATAGCAGCTATCGCCGCCGCAATCCGGCCGGTTTCCTCGCAACCGTCAAAATGGAGGCGCCGGGCGCCTGCGCCGGGGGCCGCTTGCGGGCCGCGACGGCGCCGGTGCGTCGGCACCGGCGGCGGTGGCGGCGGCAGGCACAGCCGGGCGTGCCGCGGCGGGGACGGGCGAGCGGGGGCACGCGCAGCACGAGCGGACACCTGGCGCCGCAGCAAGGGCGGAGCCGACGGTCGGGGATGCGGTCCAGTGCGGAGACTGCGCCCCGCTGGTGACGGGAGTCGGCCGTGGACCGCTGGTGACGAGAGTCGGCCGTGGACCGCTGTTGACGGGAGTCGACCGTGGACCGCTGGTGACGGGAGTCGGCCGTGGACCTGCTGGTGACGGGAGTCGGCCGTGTGCCGCCGGTGACGAGAGTCGACCGTGGACCGCTGGTGACCGGGAGTCGGCCGTGGACCGCTGGTGACGGAGTCGACCGTGGACCACTGGTGACCAGAGTCGGCCGTGGACCGCTGGTGACGGGAGTCGGCCGTGGACCGCCGGTGACGCGAGTCGACCGTGTGCCGCGTGTGTCGACAGAGGACGGAGCTGGGACGACGACGCCAGGGGTGGCCAACTGCCAGGCGTGAGGACCTGCAGGCATCACGCAGGTGTGGGGTTCCACAGGCACCTGCCCGCTGGTGACGAGCAGGCTTGTAAGAACTTGTGCGCCGGCACGCATCTGTGGTGACAGGGAGGCCTGCTGCAGATTTCCGCGGTGACACTAGCTGCGGTGTTGCTGGCCACTGCTGGTCAGGTGTTGGGACTTCCGTGGTGATGGGACCTCGGGAGTCGGTGACAGAGGCGCACGCGGCGGATCGCCGGTGATGACAGCAAACCAAGTGTTGGGCCGCTGGTGGTGACAGCGGGCCAGACGCTCGACCGCCAGACCACTGAAGTCTATCAAGGTGTTGGACCTCCGTTGGTGACGGCTGACCACGTGTCAGAATCTCGCCGAAACAGCGGAACGCGCACTAGACCGCCAGCGGCGACGGCGGACCACGCGCTGGATCGCCAGCGGCGAGTCGCGGCTCAGCTGCTCGGCCTGACGCCCCAGCGGGCGCCGTGCGATGCTGGCCACCATGTCAGAGCCGACCTGTCGCATGTACGGACCGGGCGACCGGGCCATGGCCGGCCGAGGCCCCTGCTTCTCCACGCGGTACTCGCCGCCGGCCCCGTACCGGCCCGCCGAGCCGGTGCGACGCTGCTTGAACGCGCCGGTAAGGCCAGCTGATGATGCCACCTGGAGATGTGTGAGGGTGTGAGGGCACGATCGGTCAGCCGGCGCCGGCTGGGGCTGCCGTTGACTGAGCTATGGAAGGCTGGTGACGCTATACGCTCAGGCTTTGAACAGAAAGGGCTGTCCTGACAAATTAACGAATTAAATAAATTGCAAAAAAGCTAAATAAACAAAACAAAAAAGTGATTGAGCATAAAACTAGCCCAAGTAAACAAAAACTGGCCTGAATAAACAAAATATCAACCTAAATTAACTAAAAACAGCAAGCTGCAGTCAATTGTGATCAGTGCACTACTTGTCCATTGATGCAGGGAGTAGGACAGTGTAAGCCACAAGCATTGGGGCGGAGGGAGACTGAAGGGCTTGTTACAGAAGAAGACTACTGCCAACGGGCAGTGGTGTGGGGTGAAGACGCTATAAACCGGGCGCACTGCTGCATGTACGGGCCCATCAGAAGTGAGGCATGATTCCCAAAGGATGGGATGGGACGCCACAGCAGGGATGGGTCAAAATATGAGGCAAGAAGATGTGGCGATGGAGCCATTTAAGAGTTTGGGGGATAAAAAGCTCTTTACGTCGATACTTGTCATTCGGGGCCATAGTACCAATTTGATTTTTTCCAAAGTTTGGGAGAGGCTGCTGCTCTTCGCCCCAGTCCCTGTCCAGTCCGCCAACGCCGGTACGGGCAATTGAACTCATAGTGGCATCCACTACCAAAAGCAACAATGTGAAGCTCTTCTTTTCATGTCATGCTCCCTAAGTAAGTTGCTATTTTGTAGATTGCTTTACGCCTCGTTCTTTAAGCGGCACGGCACATGTGTCCACGCATTTCCTCCACCAAAGATGTGGAACCAGGGGCCTTCTTTTCGATGTCATTTGCGTCTCTTTTTCCCAGCGTATTGTTCCGGATTTAGACGCTGTTCACGAATCGCGTGGATGAGAATACCTTTGTTCTCTCTGCGGTTGACGTGCAGTCATTCAGTTAGCCCATTGTGCGTTTTGCAACTTAAAGTCCACTTCACTATTTGTTTAAAGGAAACACGAATTGGCGATTCGTATAAACAACTCTACTACAGTTAATGCGCCATCTGTAGTGTCGAATGAAAATATGATATATGATGCATACGTGGCGAGGATACCGTAGCAACGGTAGGCTGTCGCTTATGAAAACGGGCATTCAGCTCACTAAGACGCAACGCTTTCGTTTGGATGCCGCAGTGGCATTGGAACATCACGCAACGCAGTGAAACACGACACCAGCTATGTACTTTGCACACCGTGTTGCAGTCCAGCGCACGGCTTTGGGGTGCTGGGTCCCAGAGAACATACTTAATTCAAAACTTCGCTGAATGGATGGGGCAAAGGGCTAGGACAAATATGCGATGATAAGCAGGCAAGGGCGGATCCAGGATTTTGTCAAGGGAGGGGCCACGCTTTACTGTGGTGACCCCTTGGTGCCCTCTCTCACGAACAATCCCCGGATCTCGGCCACTTCACTTTCGTACTACGTTTTGATCGGGAAACTATCTCCCTCTGCGCGTCATGGAGGGCTGGATAAAGCAAGTAGATATGTATGTACGTGACGCGCGTACCTTATATGATCTGTATGACCGATGCGCGTATTCCACCGTATCATTGCAAATGTGAACCCTTGCCTGATGGTGTGTCAAATCTCCTGCCACTGCTGAGAGGGCCTTCAACATTCGGAGTCTGCCCCTGTTTAGTAAATGTGCCCCTGGCCGACTTGGGTCACATTGCCGACACAGCTTGCCCTGTTAGGCACTACGGTCCCCTGACCAGTGCAAGACAACTGCCAGAGGCCTTATGATTGGCACTTGCAGGCCCCGGCCTTGCCACTGCTTGGGATAGGGGCCTCCAGGGCCCAGACCGGCATGGAACCGGCTGTTCGGTTTGGTGGTCCCAGTCAGCTGACTGAGCTGACTGAACCTCACTGTTTCAGGGGCCCCGATCCGTGCAAGAGGATCTTGACTGACATTTGAGGGTCTGACCTCTGACCTACCCTTCGAATCCTCCAATCGAGCCTTTGATCGTCAGCCCCGAGGGGTTCAAAGGGCCCCGAGGGACCTAAGTGTCGAGTGATCACGTGCTCCTGTGCCCCTGTTCTCTACGTGTGGTTCTGATGATGGCGACCTTGGAGTTTGGCTCCTCGTACAAATAAAAATTGTGGGGCCATTACAGTGCCGCCTTAACGTTCTGTCACTTGAAAATGAAGACTTGGGACCATTTGCGTTGTTTCCAGGAACTTTGTGTCTGTCTAGCATAAAGGTTATGATCTAGCGAACTTAGCTTTTTGGCGTCATCACACAAACGTGCCGTTCCAGGATTTCGTCACAGTGGAAGGCAAAGAAATTGTAGCGCGCCCTGATTTTGGTGACCCTTGAAATTTAATGGTTCTCACCCGCAAAGCCCCATAGGCAACGTCATTGGGTACACTTACACCAACATTTTATTGCGAGCAGGCCGAGAGACCTTTACAGGATGTCAGCAAATTTCCAAGCCGATCAATCCGACTAGTTCCAGCTCAAGCGCCACGCGTTCCAGAAGTGGGGATTGTGTGACCATAGATCGTAGCTTTTGCCGAAAGCCCCTCATTGATCTTGGAGGGGCGTTTTAGTGATTAAAACAAGTTACGAACTTCCAAATTCAATCAGTATGAAAACGCAAAATGCTATAATTGCAAACAAGCGTCCTAGCACGGATCGAAAGCGGGCCCAGTTCTCGACGACCCGACGTTGTAGCGACGCCGAAGTATCGCGGCGGCGTTGAGGGAGGCCAGCCATAGCTACATAGCGCAGAGCGTGGATCGGTGTGTGCAGGGGTGGATCGAGCCGTGCAGGAGTGTTGCTTCGTCTAAAGTATATGAACCGAGCCGACAGCCGAACATCCCCACGCTTCCCAAAACATGTGCTTTAAGTGGACATATCTAATTTTATTTCATCGAATGACAATACCCATTTTTTACGTAAGTTGTTTAGTGCATTAGCGGGGAACATTGTTCACATAGATAACGGAGCGGTAGTAGCCTTATTCCCCGCAGAAAAACCGGGAGAATGGAAATATATTCGGGTTGATATTTCGGCAACAAACCTTTATCGAAACAATAGCATAGGTGAAGTTACAATTGCCTACCGATGACCCTACTCGGTTTTTCAGGTTTTTTAAGAGCAAGCCGCAGTTTTTACAGTACACCAACATTCAGGGGATTAAACAAAGAGCGAATGCCAGCCATTATCACTATACAGTGCGTATCTAAGAATTAGAATGTGCGAACATACGTGTGCATGCAAACGAATTCAAGCAAATAGGCATCACGCATCACACTTCATTCAGACATGCAAGCGAGTTGAAGTAAATAGGCATCACACTTCGCGTATCAGTTATACATGCAAGCGGTTTCAAGTGAGCAGGCGTCGCACATCACGCGTCAGGCATCACTTACACATGCAAACGATTTTAGGCTAGCATACATCACACAGAAATGCACAAATCACGTCCGCATAACCAGCCATGATGAGACCTGTATGCTAAGATTTGGTCACCGATTTTTATAAGAATAGATTCACCACTTATTTTCCGTTCTGGGTGGTCCTGTGCTGTGTAGATAACTTTGAGCTCTAAAAGGAGCATGTGGTCTAAAACTCTCTCGATTTCATCTTAAGCGTGTGTTGCCAAAAAATGGTTACCGAATGGGGCACTCCCTGTGTTGTTTTTAGCGTCACGCAAGTGTTCATCATGTCTCAAATCGATAGGGCGCATGGACTCCCCGACATAGACTATGTCCCTCCCATGTTGTTCACACAGTCTACAATTAACTTCGTAAACCATTTCTTTTGCGTGCAAACCCATTGAAACCCAAAACTGCATAAATAACATCTGTTGCCACCCCGGCACTTAGGCTTCAAGATGGGAGATGTCACGAGAGACTTTAAGCTTATTGTTGCTTTTACAAGCTATGCGCACACGCAATTTTCGTTTTTTAACGATGTGTGATTTTCCAAATGAGCGTCAGCGAGTCGCTAAAAACGAAACAGGAATACCCTTTCGGCGACCATTTTTTTGGTAACACAAGCGTCAGATGAAATCGAGCGAGTTATCGGCCCTTTGGTTCTTTAGAGTTCAAAGTCATCTACAGAGCACAGGACGACCCAGACAGGAAAATAAGTGAATGTATTCTTATAAAAAATCGGTGAACATATCTTAACACGCGGGGTTCATTATGGCCGATTATGTGAACATGATATGTGCCTTTATCTGTGATGTGTGCTAGCTCAAAGCCGTTTACATGTGTAAGTGATGCCTGACGCGTAATGTGATGTGTGATGCCTGTCCACTTGAAATCGCTTGCATGTATAACTGATGCGCGATGTGTGATGCCTGTTCACTTCAACTCGCTTGCATGTTTGACTGAAGCGTGATGCGTGATGCCTATTTGCTTGAATTCGTTTGCATGCGCACGTATGTTCGCGCATTCTAATTCTTAGATAGGCACTGTATTGTGGTAACGGCTGGCAGTCGCTTTTTGTTAAATCCCCTGAATGTTGGTGTCCTGTGAAAACTGTGGCTTGCCGTTTAAAAAAACCTCAGAAGTCGAGTAAGATCGTCGGTAGCCAATTGTAACTTCACTTATGCTATTGTTTCGATACAGGCATGTCGCAGAAATATCCATCCAACTATATCTCCATTCTGTTGGTTTTTCTCCGAGGGTTTAGGCTAGTACTACTGTCCCATCTATCCATTTTTTGTTTGCATGATTCATTAAAAGTCATCTATTTTGGCAGCATGGTAAACATGACTATCAAATGATGTCCAAAGAAGGTAATCTTTTGTGATATTCAATTGCTCTTTGTTTTCGGGATGTTTGACCATTTTTCCAGCCCATTCTATCATCCCAGCCCATGCCCGAATGAAAATATACCAACTTTCGCAATCATGGTAGTGAAAACCAAAACAGTTTGAATA